GTCACCGCCCCACGGAGCCGCTGAGGCCGGCGGGGCCGCCGCAGCATCCCTGGGGGCTGACCCGGCTCCGGCTCCTGGCCCAGGCCCGCACCCAGCACGGACACCGAGGACTTGTCCTGCTCCCGTGCTTCATTTTTTGCCTACCCCAAAAATAGGGGTGCAGGAGGAGAGAGGAGCCACCCCAAAAGCCACAGCCTCTGTTAGTGGAGAAAGTGGGGGCACCAGAGGTCTGCTTGTTCATCGTGGTGAGTGGCTGGTGCTCAGGTGTGTGGAGTGACTGAAGAAGTGAGAAGGTACCATTAAATGAAAAATACTCTTGGAGAATGGAGTCTGGAAAGAAGGGATGGAAGAGCTGATGGGCTGGGTGATAGGGTGGAGGTGGCTCTGCAGCTGCTGTATGTCTTCTGGAATTGCTGTGGGCCATTAAGCCTCCCAGCCTTGGAGAACAGCCAGCTCTGCTGCTAACTGGGAGTGGACATTATAAACATATCTATATGCTGTTGTTTCACTAGGGTGGAGTCCAGGAGAGATGTTTTAATTTGAAGCTAGCAGCTTCAATGTACTGTTCAAGCTCCGGTTCAGCCTGGGACCATGACAATGAGCCCCCAGCCAGTGTGTTGTGGGACATCACAGGGGTCAGTTGGAAGGACCCCAAGTCCCTGGTCTAGTGTGGTCCTTTTCTGGACCTTGTGGCTGAGAAGGGTGCCAGGGCCTGAGAGACTCCAGACTCCGATTTCTACCTTTAGGGACCACAGTGACACTCCTTTCCCCAACTTGTGTTACTGGATCCACTTCAAATGTGTAGTGGTTTTGTAACTTTTTACCCCCTGTCTGCTCTCATTGACCCAGCAATCCTTACTTACTTGGTGCCTGTATGTCAATTTTCATTTTCTAAGGCTTTATTGGCCACCTAGGCCTTATGTCTGTCCCCTGAGCAGGGGGCAGCATTATCTGACTTTGGATGCATGCTGCCATTAGACCTGCCAGCCTAGTGTCTGGCTCCTCCAAATAGTTGGCACTTGGATAATGGGAGACAGTCTGTCCGAGCTCACTGCAACAGCTGGTGCCAGCCAGCTCTTCAAGGACTGGTGCCAGCATCAGGACGAGTGTGCCAGGGTCTGCTCATCAAACAGACCGGCACTCGACCCATGGCTGCCACTGGGGGACAAAGGGAAAAGCAGCAGAGCAAGTCCCTCTTGACATGGCACCTCTTGGTAAAGACAGGCATGTGTCTTTCGAAAGAGGATGGAAGCTGGAGGATGAAGAGCTGTTGCAGGTCCCAGTAACCTCAATAAATGGCATTCTCTCCCTGCTCCACTTTCCCAGCTGATAGGAAACATGTGATACCTGCCATTGGGAAGCACTAGAGACTTATGAATGATCACAGAGGCAAAGCAGTAGGAGTTATTTTGGGGTCTGCCCTTGGCTGCTTCCTTGCTTTCTAGAAGTGTTCTTGCAGGGACGTGGTGTGTGTGTCTGTGTAAACACAAGGTGCTTCTGGTGCTCCCCTTCCCTCGTTGTGGTAGAGTCCCGCTGCTCCCACAGGTTGCTGGGCTGCCTCCTATAAGTGATATGAGCAGCATCTCTCATGTAATTTTCTTCCTCCCACTGGAAAAATTGTTTGTTTATGTTCTTTAAATAAATATTTAATATCTTTCATTCTTGTCTACTGTGCTGCTTGCTTTCATTATTGAAGGTGAGGTCAGAGTTCTTTGAGAAGGAAGTGGAGAGAGAGAGCATGAACCATCCATCTCATGGGAATTTCTTCCATATATTTCAGATTGGTTCTTAAGAAAGTGCTGTTTTCTGCAGAGAGGTACTTGAAACTGGTGTGAGGTATTTCTGAAGCTCGGAGTGACAGCTTTTTCCCAGCATTGCTGGTACACCCTGAGCATGGCTCCATGGCTGTGCTGAAGGCACAGACAGTGTTCATGAATCTTACTGTATTCGATAAGAGGCCAACAAGGAATGTGGAGAAAAAGTTTGATATGAACACAAATCAAAATAAAAATGCAAGTTGGGATGCTAATTGAAAGCCCATACAAGGCCCATACACTTCACAAGTAACTTCTTTTATCCACAGCCAGTGAATATTTCTAGGGTATGTGGCCACAGCAGAGTGTAAGCATAAGGGCAGGCTTTATCCCCATGCCTTGTCCATCTAGTTAGCATCCATGATGCTGGGTGCATGTGTAAGAGGATCTGAGATTCCCAGCATTCCTCCAGCGTTGTCTCTGATACTGTCTAATGTAAGTTATCCGGGGTCCTTAGTGATGTTTAGTCTCCTGTTCTCTCCTGCTGTGCTTTCCTACCTGCCAGCTCTTGGATAACTTGCTGCTCCACTCACAACTTTCACCGCCCATGCTGCTGGAGTGTTAAAGAAAGGGGTCAACCCTGGACTTCCTGCTCTCCAGGTATGTGCTGATCCAGAGGATTTCACAGTGGGTGAACAAGTGGATGCAGATATGTTTTAAGGTGCAATGCTGCTTGCTCAGAGAATGGGAGCTGGATTGATATCCCTGGGGATCAAGGGTGAGAGATCATTTATGTCCTGTTGGGGGCACCAGGGACGAAGAAGGGAATGGAATCCCTTCAAGACCATCAAGGGATAGGTTCTGTTGGTACATAACACTGAAGAAAAGTTTTAGGTTGATAAGGTGAACATATGTGTTGTGCTGGACAGCAGTTTTGGGAGTGTGGCTCACACTTTGCCAATGCCACACCTTTGGTGGATCGGAGGCGCTATAGCTGCTTTGCTCCTGTGGAGCATGGTGTGCCTTTATTGCAGGATGGCACCATTTGCATGTGTGCCACATGAACACACTGCAAAAGTGCTAAGTCTGTCTGTCTGTTAGAGCCATGGTTTCAAAATTAAAATTCAATTTTTTTGTAATGCAGACATGAGAAGTTGTGCAATCATGTTTGTAACTGGACAGTCATTACTGCTGCTCAAATAAGTTGTCATACTGTAGATAATTATTGCTACTAATTATTTTTCCACTTTTTTTATGTTTAGTAATAAGCAGACAGCAATGTTTATGTAATATTCAAAGAATCTGGTGTTCTGGATAATTCTGGAAAACAATTCCTCATAATTTTGTTTACTGGCTACTTTTGTTTACTGGATTGCTGATTGGTCACTGAAGCCTCCTCTGCTTGGGGCAGCACCAGAGCTGTTGTACCAGTGATATTTAGCAAGTCCAATGGGATGTTGTTGAGGAGGACGCAGAAAGGTGAGGTCAAGCCTTCTCAACCTTGACTGCAAGTAGCTTCTCTTTGGGGAAAGTAGTTCTTAAGGCAGAGCTTGCAGCTTTGCTTTGTTTGCCTTAATTCTGTTATTCAGACAGTTTTTCTACCTGGCAAACCCTTCCGAACCTGGAGAGGCAGCCAACAACCAAACAGTTAAAAGAATATCAAAATAAAATATTTCTGATAGATTTCATAAAGGGTGAGTTATAGCTGAAAAAAGTTATTTTGGATTAAGTATATTGTACTTCATTCTTCAACCCAGTAATGTAATTTTATTTATCTGAAAAGATTTAAGATGTCCCAAACTGCTTGGATGGCATGTAGAAAGCATTCCAGTTTGACAGAAGCTTGAATTGATTACTTTTCTGAGGGAGGAAAAAAAAAAGAGTTTTATTTAAATCAACTTTAAAGCTTTATTTTAAAGGGTGGATATTGGTAGCTGGAGAATACACTCTGCCTTCCCCTCATATTGCAGCTGGACAGCAATAGCCAGCCTTCAGTTATTTATTTATTTCCTGCACAGAGGGGAGGAAAATATAGGTCCATGAATCAATCTAGATAATGGGGAAGGCTGAATGTAATAAATAATACAGTAACAACCCTAAACTAATGAGCTGTTGCTAAGGTACATTTCACAGGCTCATGCTCTATATAAAAAGTCACTAATAATCCCTTGGTGTAATCAGATGATAAAGCTTTGCCATAAGGCAACACCTGTGCAATTAAAGCTGTGGATTCTTTTGCACGTTTCATTAATTTCAGGATTTTGTAAAGGCACAATGACTACACTAATAATCTAGTCTACTTGACTCCATGTCTACTGGAAACAGGGTGTCTAATTAGGTAAAGGTAATTAATTAGAGATAAATGGAGCTAATCAGACTCGGTTAACACTAATTCTCTGAATTAAGACATTTTGGGACACCTACTATTCCATTGGCTTTGATGTTTCCCAACAAACACTGACTTGGAAAGGAGTCAGAAACCACTACATTTATTCTGTTGGAGACTGTTGGCCCAATCCTGCAGCAGCACTTGCCCCAATAGTTTTGTTAGGGGTTGTTGGGACCCTCAGCTGTGCTTATTCCCATGGGTTTGCTGGGAGAGGCATCCCCTCCTACTGCGTTGTGTTGGAGCCTTGGTTTGACACCCCTGGGAGTAATTTGGTGTATTTTTACAGGCTTCTGCCAGGCTTTTGCTGATTGTGATATTTTTTCCCACAGCTTCTTTCCTTGATGTGGGCATATTTTTAAATCTAGGATGTGCTAGTATCTAGAGGGGCCACCATAACCTCTGCTGTGGACAGCATTCAAAAGGTAGAATACAGTGCCTTTCCTCAAGGAAGAAAGGGGGATAAAATAAAAAAAATACAGTCAATTTAAAAGAAATCTGGATTATTTAGTGAAGGGATCAGGATTTCACAGGTGGTCTGTGCATTTGTAACTCTTTGGAGGTCATGAGCCTATTCCGGTGTGGAATCAGATGCTGTTCATCTTGCTTAGGTAACCAACTACAATTGGATTCAGGTGCCAGCATTTTCAAAACTAACAGGGCTATAAGGCAGGGGGATATAAAAGTGAGTGAGACAAGAAGTGAGCAAGAAATCTAGTTGCTTCAATGTTGTGGAGTTCCTGTGTGCCTCTACTGCTAAGTCTGTATTGGAAGAGTCCTGGTTTGCCTTTTTTTTCCCCAGGTAATTGTTACTTCCTGACATGAAATAGTGTGTAGTGCTGGTGGCAGATGTGGTGGAA